TTATTATATTTTATGCAAATATGTAAAATTACATATAGAGAAATAGATGGTACGGGGTACTATCTAGATAGTACCAGGTACCATATTTGATTTTACATATACGGACAGCTATTTATATTCTATCAGTTACTATCCACATTGTACGGAGTAACATCTTGATTGTAGTGGGTAACATAACCATACTTTTTGTAACATCTTTGATAGTACCGAGTAGCATAATGATGGTACCGTATAACATCTACTTTTTACCATCTTAAGATCATAAGTTCTTACCATCTATTTCTCTCCGTGTATTCGTTATTTCACAATATTTTTTTTTTAAACTGTGCGATTTCAGGTGAGATTTTGACTTTTTCGGAGTAGGTTAACCGATTGCAATGAAACTTTGGAATTTTGTTATATATAGTAAGACTTAAACGCTAAAATGATCTTATCAGTGTTTTCTTTAATGTTCCAAAGGAATCCAATTGTAAATGCAAGTTTAACTTATTTAATTTTAATAATTTACGAGTATAAACAATTGCGATTTCTGCTAGTTGACGTGCAGACGACATTGCGCACGCAGCATTCTCCTATAACCAGCTGACGTGATTCCTGGACTAAATTGGCTACGTGAGAATGCTGCGTGCGCAATGTCTTCTGCACGTCAACTAGCAGAAATCGCAATTGTTTATACTCGTAAATTATTAAAATTAAATAAGTTAAACTTGCATTTACAATTGGATTCCTTTGGAACATTAAAGAAAACACTGATAAGATCATTTTAGCGTTTAAGTGATTGAATTTTAGATTGTCGCGTGAAATTTATTCAATTATTATTTAATAATTTTTTTAGTTGTAAAATTATAAAAAATTGTTCTGAAAGAGATTTATTCCTCTCATTTTCCTTGACATTTTAAAAAAAAGTAGACCTCAATCCGATTATTAGAACGGAAGATATAGCAGTTTAAATTTTTTTGTTATTATTGCAAATCTCGTAAACTAACAAATATTTTAAGCTGAAATTTACGTTAAAGATTAGTCTTACTATATATAACAAAATTCCAAAGTTTCATTGCAATCGATTAACCTACTCCGAAAAAGTCAAAATCTCACCTGGAATCGCACAACTCAAAATAAATGTTACCTGTTTCATTTTGATACATTTTAGCACACTTTCAAATTAATCCCAGATTTTTTTTTGTGTAAGTAAGGTCTAAGGAAATAATTAGAGAAAAATAATTTTTTTTTATTAATATAATACTTACAAAGAACATGGTGACGTTTAATTGTTGCAAATTTTATTTAAAAAAACACTACAAATAACATACACTTAAAACAATTCAAATGTTTTGATTAGAAAATAAAAATTAACATCACAATTTAGAAACGAATTATATTATTAATGGAATAGTAATAAATTAATTGAAATACAATTCACTTCGAAAAATAATAACAAAAGATTCAATTGGATCTAATAAATATATAGACGTAAATTTGGAAACACGTTTTTTCCCTTTGAAGGTCAGTTAGAAACTGAAAAATTTAGCAGAACCAACTCTTCTTGTAAGAAAGTATTAGTTTAAGGATGTTTAAATGAAAATTTGGGGGAAAATAGGAGGTAATTAAAAATAGATTTCTAAACGTGCATAGTGAATTTCTTAATTTAAAATTCGTACACATTTTTGACTGTTAATGGCATTACAAAGGGCCGGTCATTAAGAGACACAACTATATACTTTTTGAGCCTTTTCAATTAGTGAATTGACACAATGTTACGATTTTTTAAATATATGTTTATTTCTCCGGAAATGAATTTTTTTTATAGGATCTGCGGGGTTTGTACTACCGGTTTTTCTCTTTTGTCCGCTTTTCTAAATATATGATTATATAAGTTTTCTTCAATGGACAAAAATCAGAAAAAAATTTGTTTGAAAAATCATTAGTTAAAATTTTTATTTTAAAGAATTTTATTAGATATAATTATTTTTTAGACGAATTTTTATTTTTCGAATTAACATTTGACAGAATTCCTTTTTAAACAAATTTTTGTTTAACAGAATTTTTATGTATCGAATTTTTATTGTACAGTATTCTTAAAACGCCGAATTTTTATTTGTCCGAAATTGCAAAGTGACCGAGCAAACAATCGATAAAAAGATTTCGGCGCGATTTTTAAAATTTACTAATCAAAAGTTGTCAAGAAAATTGTGATTGGTGGATTTTAAAAATTGCGCCGAAATCTTTCTGTCGATTGTTTGTTCGGCCATATGCAATTTCGGACAAAGAAAAATTCGGCGTTTTAAGGCTGTTTCAGAATAGGTGCAAAAGCCAAGTATAAGTGCAAGTCCAAATGCAAATCCCATATGAATTCAAGAGAGATAGATAGATAGATTACCTATCTCTCTTGCACTTATGGGATTTGCATTTGGATTTGCACTTGTACTTGGCTTTTGCACCTATTCTGGAACCGCGTTTAAGAATTCTACAAAATAAAAATTCAGTAAATTAAAAATTCTTTAAAAAAGAAATTCTAACAAAATGTATTTCTGCTTTTTATTTTTTCTGAATTTATCATTGAAATTTTATATCAACGCGTATAGACCATATCAATTTTTAATACAAAATCCCCATTTTTCCTCATTATGAAACATGATATTAAACTTGGATATAAAAAATTCTAATATTTTGAAACACAAAGTCTACAATATTAAATTAAAAAAAAGCTGTTCTGCAAATGTAACCAAACAGAAAAAATTGATAAATTTTCACTATCACTGGGTCTCAATTTATAAAATAATGTCAGAAATTATTCTAAATTAATGATTTATTGCTTTTTTTATATAATCTTGTTCAGTGTTTAAAAAATAATAAATATTTATTAAATTCAAATTAACATAATCTATAATATTAAATTTTCCATAAGTATTTGAAAAATTGCATTGCAATAAATTGAGCTAAAAAAAATGTTTATTAAAATTAAAATTAACAAATTAAAATTAATTAATATTTACTAAATTGCCTATTTGATTAAATAATAATAAAATTTCTTTTTATTAATAATAATAATTTTTTTTTCTATATTTAATTTAACAATGAATAAATCATTAATTCATAAATAATTTCTGGCGTTATTTTATTGTATAGGTAAATTATCATTTCTAAGTATCGAGTCAAGTTGAAATGCGGTAAAGAATTTAAAAGTGGGAGATGGTAATGATTCTCACTTATACATATAAAAGTGACTAGTGTATATGATTCGACCAATGAGCTGCTTAGAACTTGGAGGCACGTCTTATTCTTTATCCGATCCCCTGGAGAGGGTCAGCTGATGAAACTTGTCAGAAAATTTTCAATGTAATATTTAAATATTGATTGATTGTCAATTTATCGAGGTAATTCACCAATGATCTAACCACTATCAATATTGATACATAATAAGCTTTAAACTCAAATATTTAAATACATAAATTAAAATTTTTTTTTAAATATTATTTTATCTTATAATTACTATTATTGATATTATTATTATTATTATTATTTTGGTCAAACTTGAATAACCTTTTTTAACCATTAGAAATGATTCTTTGTGACCTAAATTTTATAAATTGTAATCCCAAGCCCAGATCATTTACTAATTGAATTTTAGATTCGTAATCAGTGACACCCAAAAATCCCAAATGATAAGATTCATGTGAATCTGACAAATTAAAAAAAAAATTATCCGCAATCTTGAAAAACTAACATCGGATTCGTAATCAGCGACCCCAAGAACCCCCGAATAGCCATTTTCATGAGCTTAGTTCAAATTTTCAAAATTTAGTCGGCCATATTAGATCCGCCATTTTTAATTTTGAAAAACTAACATCAGATTTGTAATCAGCGATCCTAAGAACCCCCAAGTAGTAATTTTCATTAGCCGTTTCGTCCGCCATTTAGAATTTTAAAAAACTCACATCGAATTTATAATAATCAGCGACCCCAAAAACCCCTGAATAGTAATTTTTATCAGCTTAAATTAAATTTTTGGCATGTAGTCCGCCATATTGGATCCGCCATTTTGAATTTTGAGAAACTAACATCGGATTCCTAATCAGCGACCCCAAAAACCCCCGAGTAGTCGTTTTCCTTAGCTTATCTTAACTTTTTTGGAATTTATTCCGCCATATTGAATCCGGCATTTTGAATTTTGAAAAATTGACATCAAATTTGTTATCAGCGATCCCAAAGTTCAACTTTTTGTATTTTTATTGGAAATGGTTATGAAAGGTTATACAAGTTTGCCAAAAATTGAACTTTTTTACGATTCTCCTTTTGCCTTAAATTTCACCCGAAGAAAAAATTTCTTTGATTTAAAAAAACCAATTTCATTGACTTGTTTTTTTTCATTGAAAATAAAATTTTCTTCGAAGCAAAAGAATCTTATATTAGTTTCAAAGAAAATTTATGTCTTAAATCAAAGAAATTCTAACATTGATATATAGGATCAAAGAAATATTTATTTGAATTAAAGAAAAAATTTCTTTGAAACAAAGATAATTTTTTTTGAATCAAAGATAATTTATTTGAAAGAAATAAATTTTCTTTAAATCAAAGAAAAATTTGCCAAAGAAATTGATTTCTTTGAATGAAAGAAATCTTTTTTCTGTGTGTTACTTTATGTAATGTGCGATTCCAAGTGAGATTTTGACTTTTTCGGAGTAGGTTAACCGATTGCAATGAAACTTTGGAATTTTGTTATATATAGTAAGACTAATCTTTAACGTAAATTTCAGCCTAAAATATTTGTTAGTTTACGAGATTTGCAATAATAACAAAAAATTTAAAACTGCTATATCTTCCGTTCTAATAAACGGATTGAGGTCTACTTTTTTTTAAAATGTCAAGGAAAATGAGAGGAATAAATCTCTTTCAGAACATTTTTTTATAATTTTACAACTAAGAAAATTATTAAATAATAATTGAATAACTTTCGCGCGACTAACTAAAATTCAATCACTTAAACGCTAAAATGATCTTACCTGTGTTTTCTTTAATGTTCCAAAGGATTTTTATTGTAAATGTAAGTTTAACTTAAGAAATTTTATTAATTTATTAGTATAAACAATTGAGATTTCTGCTAGTTGACGTGCAGACGACATTGCGCACGCAGCATTCTCACATAGCCAACTGACGTGATTCGTGGACTAAATTGGCTATGTGAGAATGCTGCGTGCGCAATGTCGTCTGCACGTCAACTAGCAGAAATCTCAATTGTTTATACTAATAAATTAATAAAATTTCTTAAGTTAAACTTACATTTACAATAAAAATCCTTTGGAACATTAAAGAAAACACAGGTAAGATCATTTTAGCGTTTAAGTGATTGAATTTTAGTTAGTCGCGCGAAAGTTATTCAATTATTATTTAATAATTTTTTTAGTTGTAAAATTATAAAAAAATGTTCTGAAAGAGATTTATTCCTCTCATTTTCCTTGACATTTTAAAAAAAAGTAGACCTCAATCCGTTTATTAGAACGGAAGATATAGCAGTTTTAAATTTTTTGTTATTATTGCAAATCTCGTAAACTAACAAATATTTTAGGCTGAAATTTACGTTAAAGATTAGTCTTACTATATATAACAAAATTCCAAAGTTTCATTGCAATCGGTTAACCTACTCCGAAAAAGTCAAAATCTCACTTGGAATCGCACTAATGTCAAAACTTTAAAGTGGAAAATGCAATTTGAAACAACGTAACCTCAAATTTACCCAAGTTTTTATTATTTATTTTATCGAAATATAATATTCTAACTTCTTTATATTGAATAGGAGTTATATTTCGCTTGTGAGAAAAAAATGTTCGCCACCTATGAGCCACTTGTTGAATTTCAATTCAATACACATACCTCTATAATCAATTTTTGATTGTAGAATTCGAAAAAATAGAAATTCAAACAATTGAGAATTTTCTGAAAAAAGAAATTCCAAAGGAGAAGGGCCCCTAAGGCCTATATTTCGCCCCCTTGGGATTTTAATTTAAATGGTTGAAAACTTTTTCTTATAGTAGAAAAAGTAATTTTTCATTGATTTTAGGTGAAACGGGGGTGTTTTGGTCAAATTAACCCTTAGATTTTAGAGGTTTTTTTTCAAAAAGAGTGTCAAAAAACATGCAAAAAATTTTTTCCAAATGTTGAGCAATTGGCTTGAAAATCGCTGCTCGGGGGTTTTCGGGGTCGCTGATTACGAATCCGACGTTAGTTTTTCAAAATTCAAAATGGCGGATCCAATATGGCGGATGACTTTTTGAAAATCTAATATTATTGGCCTGAAAATTGTAACTCGGGGGTTTTCGGGGTCGCTGATTACGAATCCGACGTTAGTTTATCAAAATTCAAAATGGCGGATCCAATATGGCGGAATTTTTTTTTTAAATCGTTTGGATTTGCTTAAAACTCTCTACTCGGGGGTTTTTGGGGTCGCTGAATACGAATCCGAGGTCAGTTTTTTAAAATTCAAAATGGCGGATCCAATATGGTGGACAACTTTTGAAAAAACTTAATATACTTGTCTGAAAATAATTACTCGGGGGTTTTCGGGGTCGCTGATTACGAATCAAAGGTCAGTTTTTCAAAATTCAAAATGGCGAATCCAATATGGCGGACAACTTTTGAAAAAACTTAATATATTCGTCTGAAGGAAGTAGTTTCCAGTGGTTTTAAATATTTGTCCGCCATATTGGATCCGCCATTTTTAATTTTAAAAAACTAACGTCGGATTCGTAATCAGCGACGCCGAAAACCACCGAGCAACGATTTTCAAGCCAATTGCTCAACATTTGGAAAATGTTTTTTGCATGTTTTTTTGACACTCTTTTTGAAAAAAAAAACCCTAAAATCTAAGGGTTAATTCGACCAAAACATCCCCGTTTCACCTAAAATCAATGAAAAATTACTTTTTCTACTATAAGAAAAATTTTTCAACCATTTAAATTAAAATTCCAAGGGGGCGAAATATAGGCCTTATGGGCCCTCCTCCTTTTTTTTTGAAATTAATTTTAAAGAAATAGAAATTTAATAATGAAAATTTGTAAATAGAAATTTTGTTCATAAAATAATAATATAATTTCTTTTTCTTAAAAGAAAATGGAGTAAAGCAATAATTTTGACGTTTTTAATATTCTTGATAAATATTTTTTTTTATTTTCAATTACAGATGCCTGTTTGCGTTGTCAAGCTGAAAGCAAAAAAGACTTTTACGGAAGACAGGACTGCGTGGTTGTGTGGGGCGAGTGTAACCATTCTTTTCATTATTGCTGCATGTCACTTTGGGTGAAACAAAACAATCGCTGTCCCCTTTGTCAGCAAGAATGGTCAATTCAACGCATGGGCAAATGAAATATTGGGTTGCCGATGAGATTGTCACTTTTAATAAAGGAAAAAAAAAAATTTCATTCCTTGATGTCAGCAATTTAGCCATTTTTCTACACATAACTTGCGCAAGAAAATGAACACCTTTATCGGTATAGTAAATTTTTTTTTCGATATCTGACACTAAAATGTTTTTTTTTTTTTTTTTTGTCATTCCTTCAGTATCTTTGCGCATTGTATCAAGCTGAATTTATGTGATTTATCGAAATATCTTAATTTATAATTATGTAAAAAGTGATGAAGGAAATAATATTTTCCTCTATTATTTATATTAAGTTGAATTTATTAAATTCAATATTACAAATAATTAAATTTGATTAATAAGCAAATTTACGAATGGAATGTGTTTTTTTTTTTTTTAGTGGTTATGTTACGAATTTTTGATGAACGGCCGTTTTTCGTTTATTTATATGACATGAGTTGTTAATGAAACACACTAGCAGTAATAATAATTATTATTAAAGATATAATTTTTTGAAATAAATATTTAATATCAAAGAGGATTACATTTTTATTGATTAGGGGACCTAAAAAGATAAAAAAAATTATAGGTTATGTTTAAAAATACACAAAGAGGATCAACTTTCAAAACAAACTGTTAAAATGTTCAAAACATTAATTAAAATATAAATAATTAACCTCCAAAATATTCTATGAAAATTTATTTTAATTTTACATAATTAAAAAGAAATTTTTAATTTAGGTATAAAACTGTAATTTAAACATAACCTATAATTTTTGGTTCTTAGGTCCCTTTTCTTTATAGAGCTCATAAATATACTGAGTAAAATTTCATTTTTATAATATGTAAATTTATACTCTCTAGATTTGAATTAGTGAAAAATGAGAATTCGTTCACGAATTCAAACTAGTAGAAATTTTCACTAATTTTTAGTCAAATAATTACTATTTGATTTTAGTAAATTTTTTTTACTACTGTTTTTGTGGAAAATGACTAAAAATTAGTAGAAATTTTCACTAATTTTTAATCAAATTTGGTTTCATTTAGTAATATTTTTTACTAAAATTCCGCAGTTTTAGTTTTTATTTATTATTATTATTATTATTATTATTATTATTATTATTTTTCTATTATAGTTTTAGTGAAAAATGATTAAAAATTAGTAGAAATTTTGGCTAATTTTTATTAAATTTTTTTTGATTTAGTAATATTTTTTTACTAAAATTTTAGTTGTAGTTTTTTTTTTTATTTTTTTAATCATAGTTTTAGTGAAAAATGACCAAAAATTTAGTAGAAAATTTCAATAATTGTTAGTAAAATATTACTATTGGATTTGGTAAAAATTTTTTTTATTAAAACAGAGTTTTAGTTTTTATTTATTATTATTATTATTTTCATTATAGTTTTAGTGAAAATTGACTAACAATTAGTAGAAATTTTCACTAATTTTTAGTCAAATAATTACTATTTGATTTTAGTAAATTTTTTTTACTACTTTTTTTGTGGAAAATGACTAAAAATTAGTAGAAATTTTCACTAATTTTTAATAAAATTTGGTTTCATTTAGTAATATTTTTTACTAAAATTCCGCAGTTTTAGTTTTTATTTATTATTATTATTATTATTTTTCTATTATAGTTTTAGTGAAAAATGATTAAAAATTAGTAGAAATTTTGGCTAATTTTTAGTAAATTTTTTTTTGATTTAGTAATATTTTTTTACTAAAATTTTAGTTGTAGTTTTTTTTTTTTATTTTTTTAATCATAGTTTTAGTGAAAAATGACCAAAAATTTAGTAGAAAATTTCAATAATTGTTAGTAAAATATTACTATTGGATTTAGTAAAAATTTTTTTTATTAAAACAGAGTTTTAGTTTTTATTTATTATTATTTTTTTCATTATAGTTTTTAGTGAAAATTGACTAAAAATTAGTAGAAATTTTCACTAATTTGTAGTAAAATATTCCACTATTTGATATAGTAATATTTTTTTTTACTAAATTTTTTAATGAAAAATAAAATTAAAAATTAGCAAATATTTTCTCTAATTTAAATTAGTCAATGAATTTTCACTACCTCAAATTTAGAAAATACAATATCAAATTCCGTTTGAATAAAAATTTTTTTTTTTTTAAATAAAAATTAAAATAAACATATATATCTTCAACATAATTCCTCATTATTTTTCAATTTATAACGGCAAATTAGAAAATAATGAGAGTGATGAAAAATTAATTTTTATTTAGAAATATCTATTGTTTTTCAAGAGTCAAATATTATATTTCTCTGTTTATGTGTAATATTTTCTTTTTTTTTGAGGGGGAGGGGAAGAGAACTGTTCAAAAAAGTCAAATATATGTCAAACACGTAGGATTCTTGTTATAGAATAAACACGTAAGAGATTTGACAAAGTTAATTTTTTAATGACGCTCTGATTGGCTACTTTTATTGTTCTCTCATGTTAGAAAAATAGAGCTATAAAGATTCAGTTATTTGCCAGAGGCAAATATTTGACGATTTAAGCCACTCTGATAATGACGTCAAGCTAAAAACGCACAGTTTACCAATATCTATATATATATATATATATATATATATATATTGGGGTCAAAAAGAAAAATAAAAAAATTAACAAAGTGCAATATTTTGCACGATAAATTTCATTCAATAATGCAGACTCAATTACAAATCAGATAAAATATGGACCATTCATTGGTTTTTTTTATCCTTATTCCTATTTAAGTATTTATTAAAAGATACTTCATCCACTGCATACGGGATATTTTTATTTTTTTTTTTTGCAGTGGAACTGACAAAAATTTTTTACATGTTATTTATTATTAAAATAAAAATAAAATTTTTTTTTAGCAATTTTATATTTAGGTATCTTTTATTTTATATTTTATTATTTATATTTTATATTTATCGGAGTTTTTTAACTTTTTATAATGGACGTCTTTTTCCTTAATAAAATAATTTTTCCAACCTAAAATAAATTTTAACTTCTATGTTACAGAAATGTAAAAGTGGAAAATGTTGGTACTCATAATTTCTATTAGTTTTCATTGACAAACAACTTTTTACACTTCTTTTATAACTCTGAATAGACAGTTGTAGGATTTTCAATAAAAATTATAATTTAAAAAAAGAGACGTATGATTATGTTCTAAAAATCATTAGTTAGAATATTCATTTTATGGAATTTCATTTGTCATAATTATTTTGGAGTCGAATTTTTATTTGTTCGAATTAGTATTTTGCAGAATTTTCATCAAAACTATTTTCTATATTACACAATTTTTATATAACCGAAAAATCACTTCACATAATTTTTATTTGTTCGAATTATTATTTCATATAATTTCCATATAATCGATTCTTCATACTACAGAATTTTTACGTAACCGAAAAAAATTATTTAACAGATTTTCTAATTGATAGAATTTTTATTTGTCCGAAATTGCAAGTGGCCGAACAATCAATCGAAAGAAATTTAAAATTTTCGATTTTTTCAGAAAATAAAAATTCTAACCGGATTCAATATATAGGGGGGAGTCAGCATGGTTGGGCCACCCCTGTGTTTATGGCTCTAGCACACTGGCGCCCTCTATTTTATTATGCAAACACGTGTTAGTGATGGCAACTAACTTTTCATGTCAGTTACAGTAAAATGCAATTGCAATAAACATTTAATTTTTCAAGAAAATCAAAATAAGTGCTAAAATGACAACCAAAATCTTTTTCACAGTGACAGAAAAGTCGATTAAATAACAGCCACAGTAAACTTGGTTGTATCTTTTTCTATTGCAACGTTTTGATGCACATAAGTTATATCAAAAAGAGATCGTTTTGTGTATCATTTTTAGAAATGATACACGAAACGGTCTCATTTTTTGATGCAAAAAATTTAATCAATTTATATCAATCATGGCCGTATTGAATCGACTCAAAATTAAACGAATTTTTTTCAGATATTTTGGTAATAGTACAATTGCGGAGACCATTTCACTATTTAATTTGAAAATGAAAATAACAGAAAATCAAAGACAATGTGCAATTCGATAATTAAAAAGTGACAGCTTATAAACATAACCTAAAATGCATGAGAAAAAATTTGTCGATAAAATCAATATAGCCGAGCTTTTTAGAAGGTAGATAGCAGTTTTGCTTTTTATAAAAACGATTCAGAAAAAATTTAAAGAAAGAAAATAGATGAGTGCTGCCATCTACCTTCTAAAAAGCTCGGCTATATTGATTTTATCGACAAATTTTTTCTCATGCATTTTAGGTTATGTTTATAAGCTGTTACTTTTTAATTATCGAATTGCACATTGTCTTTGATTTTCTGTTATTTTCATTTTCAAATTAAATAGTGAAATGGTCTCCGCAATTGTACTATTACCAAAATATCTGAAAAAAATTCGTTTAATTTTGAGTCGATTCAATTCGGCCATGATTGATATAAATTCAATTAATTTTTTGCATCAAAAAATGAGACCGTTTCGTATATCATTTCTAAAAATGATACACAAAACGATCTCTTTTTGATATAACTTATGTGCATCAAAACGTTGCAAAGATTTGATGCAATTTTTGATCTCAATTTGATACTTTTAGGAAAACTGTGGTATTTTTATGCCATTTGCGGGTCCTTTTTGATCAATTTCCTTCATTTCATATTGATTTACTACAGTGGCCCAAGCATCAAGCCCTGGCCTAACCTACACGACAAAATTTTCTTTTTTAAATGCCTGTAACTTTTACACTTTTGACCCAATAATTTTCTGATGTTTAGAAGAAACATTCCATTTTAGTGTATCTTTCCAACCATATACAAGAGAATTTAAAATTTACCCTAAAACGGAAGTTATGGGCACAAGTCAAAAACTGGCCCAACCATGCTGACTCTCCCCTGTATTTTTTAATTTTAATAATATTCGAATAATTATTTCAGATTTTAAATAATTCCCAAAAAAAAAAAAAAATTGGGGCTCATCAATAAAATAAATTTCAAAGAATTTAAATTTTACTGATCCCTCTCCGTAAAAAAATTTATGTTGTTGTTCTCAACGTTTATGATCTAAAATTGAAAAAAAAAAATCCACCTGAAAATTATAGAAATTTCTGGTTTTACAATATGTTTTTTTCTTTTTAAATTTATCATATAATTTATTATACTATTATCGCTGGTCAATGTACGCCAATCTCATGAGGCTAATAATAATTTTTCTATTAAAAAGATAAATCTGTTTTAATTTGTCGGAACCGGAAAAAAAATTGTTAAAAATAATCATAATTATATTACTCACATTTTTGATAACAAAAATTAGTATTATTAAATAAAGTATAATAATTAGTAATCGTTTAAAAAAGTTTTTTCATTTGTCAATCAGTAAACGAAAAAAAAAAATTTCAAATTGAAAATTTATAAAAAAAAGTTTTCTTTTACATTTTATTAATTAAAATTGTTTAAAATTTGCTCATCAACGTTGTAAACTTTACATCATCGTAATTTGTTAAAATTTAGAAACATTTTTTTTTA